AAGATGGTTTCAAGCAAACCAGACAGGACAACGGCAAAATTATTTTCATAAAGTGAATCCTCACATAGATAAATACAGTTTCCTACAGAATGGGTAATGTTATCAAATGACCTCTTTGTTCTAATTTTCAGGATTTATAACTTGAAAATATAAGAAATGAATCCAAGATAGATGAACCATGTCTATTTAATAAATGAAAAGTTATTAAAATTAAATATATAAAGCAACAACAAATGAGAAAACTAGAATTAAGTAATTGTTGAAATAACCTTAAGTATGATTTAAAAAAAAAAACTAGCTTAATTCAAGTGATTATTGTGAACTGCACACCTTCTGGTAATGTCACAGATGTACTGGAGACAAATTATTTACTAAATATTTCTAGCGTATCTGTTTATTTTCTTATGAAAGGAATGGGATAAATATGATGAGGTAGTATTTAAGTTTCCATCATATTTTAAAATAGCAAATTAAAAATTACTGTTAGGGTTTCTTCAAAATTACCCTGTGTAGCTGAAATGAGCACTCCAGTGTGCACTGTTAACTATTTATGCAGTGACAGTAGAAGGGGATCTCTTTAATGCAAATAGTGCTCTAATATATTATTATGCCTGATGATGCAGCTTGTATCTAGCAAGTCTTTTTCTTCCCTAAAATATACTGTTGTTTTGACACAAACAGCTTGCTACACTTAAGGATTTTACTAATAAAACATAATGTTGTGTTAGATATTATGACTGTTGCCACAGCTGAACTGACTTGTCAAATCAATCCTAATATGGCTCCCACAGGCACATAAAAACCTTATTTAGCTATCAGTTATCCTAATCACTTTGTTCAGTTTAAGGGTGCAATACTTCAAGACCAGTTCCTATTTATACATATATGCCCAGCCATTTAATAAAGTCTTGATTTATATAATAAATTCTTGTTTGAAAAAATACTTTAAAGCAGCAGTGTTTTATCAAGTGTGTTACAACATGTCTCCTCATACCCCCAAATAAATATGTTAATATACACAAACAGGATACTTGCATGGCAAAGGGAAATATTACATATGAAACAGATAAGCTATCACTGAAGACAAATTTGTCCCTTCGATTATAAATGGGGATCAAATGGGGTCACTTGATCTGCAAAGCACTGAAAAATCCCAAGGCCTTTATAAAATCTTTGTACAAAGTTTATTTAGGATAGTCATGTATAGCATTTTTATCTCTACTGACTACATTCCTAATTATATGTATGTATACAGGTATAAATATACATAAAAGTATACAGTATACATACCATGAGACACAGACACAAGAGATGACAAGCTTGTTGCTAAATGCTTGCCCCACTATTTGTTTTTCCCATCAATAATTTCTTTCCTTATAATTGAAATAAACCTACCTTTGCTTCTTCTTGTTCAAAACTACTGTTGAATATCTGAGACACACTTTCAAATGAGACTGTGAGGGGGAGCATGAAATTCTCAAACTCATCCTCGTCTTCACCTACAGGAAAAGAAACCAAAACAAAACAGCAAAAGCATCACATATTCACACTGTTGTTCGGAAGGGTCAGTCTCTTAGGCTTTTGTAGACAAATCTCACTGACATCATGGGAACTTTCATATGACCTACAGGAACAAAAACCTGAGGTTTGACATATTTTTACTGAGCTATAAACAAAGACGACAAATTGTTGATAGCAAACAACTTGTATCTGAGACTGGCATGTCTCGTCTCTGCATTTCACATCTTTCTCTTTTTCGTATTTCTGTTTTCTCTGTTAATCTGACAGCATTTGTTCAGTACCCTGGAAGAATATTCACGTAAGAAAGTCAAGACCCAACCGTTAAAAAATGTTAAATTTAAAACAGCAACAATAAATAAACCCTTTCACATGTAATTCATAGTATGATGTTTAAATCACAAGCTTTTATGATCGCATGCTATTTTTTGTATCTCCTACCTATTTAGTATACAGAATGAAGCTGCCGTGGAAATAAATCTGGACTGGGATGGGGTTATTCATATGACACTATTGCCTCATTTGTTTCAGAAGATGTGAATTTAGAGTAAAAGAAATAAGATGCTGTGGGTAGGGGGAAAAAAAAAAATTGCCTTGGTTAGCCAGTTGAAAGATACCCTGGAAGCCTGGATTGGTTTTGTTTTGTCATGACACTGAACAAGTAACTATAAACAACAACAACTTTTTAGAAATGGCAATTTGCATGAGGATTGGTACTCATGCTACTTATCTTTAGGCCCTTAATGAGGGTAGCTTGCCTCTCACACGCAGATTCCCCTCGAGAGTAATTCAGAGTAGGAATTTAATTTATGTTCTTTAAAGAGCTCTTTGCTATAGGGCTTCTCTCTCTTCTCTCTTCATTGGCAAAGTCTGGCAAACTAAGTTGCAACTGAAGTTAGGAGGAGTCTTTTTGTGTATCAAATTGGTTGTGCAAAGTTAGTGTAAGCTTTACAGTTTAGTTTCTACACTTCCTATACCCATCTCTAAAATGGACCTAATTCCAGCCTCTTATCTCTAGCGATACTGCAAAGACCAAATCACTCACCCCAGTACAACAGTAAGAATGACAGAAAAGGCCAAGAAGAAAAAAGGCCAGGAAGGAAAAATAGTCACAACAGAAAGCAAAGCATGGACTAACACATAAATACAGATGACAACACAGGGAAAAAAAAAAAATCAAAATACTCAGGAGCTTCTCATTAAGCTAGCATGACACATCTTCTGAACGGAAAGAGGCAAATATCCTCTGGGAGGAATAATTGTGATCCTGCAATTAAAAGTGCCTCATAACAATGTAAATATTTACAGTGGAGAAGAAAGGAAAATTGCAGAGGCAATCCCAATTATGGCATTTCCTCACTTCTGAACACTTGGCTTTGTGACTTGAACTGCTTCCCTTTAATAGGGCTTTTGTGCCCAGTTTTCCATATTTTTTTTAAAGCAGAGAAAATACTTTCAATAACTTAACTGCTACTGCACTGGTCAGCCAAAGTTACGGAACCTTCAAATCACAATCTATGCTCAAGAACTTTCTTAAACTAGCAAAGTAACTGACCAAATCTGTGACTTGGGTCCTGTACCTGCAGCAGAACCAAAGAGGGTGAGACACTTCGTGTGACATTTCAAAGCTGCTGCTTGCAGCAACAGGATCTGGTGGGCTTTGGGAAAATCCAATCCTACCCATCTTTGCCTGTCTCCTCTGCCATCTTTTCTCTGCTCCTTTCAACTGGAGTCAGTCTTTTTATTTGTCATTTCTGGACCCTTGCATTCTTTTCTGATTATTCACAGTAACCCCAGACTATTCATCCAGCTTTTTGTTTCTATGTCCTTCCTTTGCCAAATCCAGTTCTTTAGGCAGTTCCAATACAGTGTTAGTTTCTGTGCTCCCAATCTCTTTGCTCGACCAGCATCAGCTTCCTCTTACACTCCTAGGAGCTAAACCATTTCAATATGCATTGCATATCCTGATATTTTTCTCCTTTTAGTTGCTTATCAGGTTTTCCTTGGAGCAAAAAAATTAATAAATAAAGACCAATCATTTAGAAAGAGTCCCATGCTGGTATTGTCCCATGCCAGCATTACAGACTAACAGAAGTCATTTGGATACTGCTCTATGTAGGATCAGGGCTCAGTTGCCATATATAGAGTTCTTGGGAGAAACCTGAATTACCACAACATAGCAAAAGTAATATTCCCTCTCATCTAGAGTGCTGCATAACATTAGAAGACAATCTCCATGAAGATACTATGCACACATCCAAATTCAAGATGAACCCTTCCTGAAGGTAGAACCTCAAGCATACTTCATTAAAAAGTTGCGAAGACCAAAAGAACTACAAGAATGTCCAATGTTGATTGGGACCAACACTTTAATGAGAAACTGGCTAGTTCTGGAAATGGGGTAAGGGAAAATCTTATGTGCTATTTCTGTTTTAAATTTCAGTGTAGGCAGTCAAGAAGGAATATATAGTTAGGATGCTACACAGTATTGCCCTATTAATCAAATAATTTGTAACTTTTAGAAAAGCAACACAAATTACTACCTATACATTTCTTTTGCATTCCTGTACAAGCCACATTCACATTCCATGAACAATACAATATTAATACGGAAGAAACTATCCTAAACAAACCTACCATGGTAAACTGTTCATTTTCTGTAATTCAAACTGCGCATACACATCCTTATTATGTCCTCTGAAAGACAAGAGATGCCTCACTTGTAAGTTATAGTAGATCTGTGTGTGGCTTACAGCCATAGTGTTTTAAAAACACTAAAAAAAAAAGCTTTTGACACTGTCTCCCATAATATTCTCCTTTGGAAGCTGGCAGCTCATGGCTTGGACGGGCGCAATCTTCGCTGGGTAAAAAACTGCTTGGGTGGCTGAGCCCAGAGGGTTGTAGTGAATGGAGTCCGGTTGGCAGCCAGTCACGAGCGGTGTTCCCCAGGGCTCTGTTTTGGGGCCAGCCTTGTTTAATATCTTTATCGATGATCTGGATGAGGGGATTGAGTGCACCCTCAGGAAGTTTGCAGATGACACCAAAGTGGGTGGGAGTGTTGATCTGCTCGAGGGTAGGACGGCCCTGCAGAGGGACCTGGACAGGCTGGACTGATGGGCTTAGGCCAACTGTGTGAGGTTTAACAAGGCCAAGTGCCGGGTCCTGCACTTGGGTCACAACAACCCCATGCAATGCTACAGGCTTGGGCAAGAGCGGCTGGAAAGCTGCCTGGCCAAAAAGGACCTGGGGGTGTTGGTTGACAGCCGGCTGAACATGAGCCAGCAGTGTGCCCAGGTGGCCAAGAAGGCCAACAGCATCCTGGCTTGTATCAGGAATAGTGTGGCCAGCAGGAGCAGGGAAGTGATTGTTCCCCTGTACTTGGCACTGGTGAGGCCGCACCTGGAATACTGTGTCCAGTTTTGGGCCCTTCACTACAAGAAAGACATTGAGGTGCTGGAGCGTGTCCAGAGAAGGGCAATGAAACTGGTGAAGGGTCTGGAGCGCAGGCCTTATGAGGATCGGCTGAGGGAATCGGGATTGTTTAGTCTGGAGAAGAGGAGGCTGAGGGGAGACCTTATCACTCTCCACAACTACCTGAAAGGAGGTTGTAGTGAGGTGAGTGTTGGGCTCTTCTCCCATGTAGTTAGTGATAGGACGAGAGGAAATGGGCTCAAGCTGCACCAGGGGAGGTTTAGGTTGGAAATTAGGAAAAATTTCTTTATGGAAAGGGTAGTCAAACATTGGAACAGGCTGCCCAGAGAGGTGGTGGAGTCCCCATCCCTGGAAGTGTTCAAAAAACGGGTAGATGTGGCACTTTGGGACATGGTTTAGTCTAGTCTACCCTTGATTGGTTTAGTGTGGACTTGGTAGTGTGGGTTAATGGTTGGACTGGATGATCTTAAAGGTCTTTTCCAACCTAAACGATTCTATGATTCTGGGATTCTATGATTCTAAACCTGCTTCATGTGGAGAGGTTTGGCACTGAGCATGACTGCATATACCTGTAAGTACAGGACACTGACAAATCATGCTGAATAGCTCCTGAAGGTATTTTCCACAGCTTAGATCTCCTTTTGGTAGTGCAGAAGAAAAAGTGATTAAAATTTATTAATCCTAGTAAAACTTTTATTTAAATATAACTTTTACTGGTGTTCTTGTATTAGTTTTGGTTACTATATACTTCACACAAATATTCAGTTTACTTTAGAATCCTGGACTAAGAATCCTGGACAAAATGATGAAATTCTAAATGCCAAAAAAATTATTAAAAACATAACCCGGGGCACATAAGAAATTCAAAGTCTAATTATATTCATACAAAGTTAAAGCAATTCAACAGAAACCAAAGTGCATTTTGAAGTAAATACAGATTAGTATATTACTGTTCTTTCCTACAATTAAATTTTGCCAGTCACTCCAAAAGCACATTGTTTAAAATGTAAATATTCTGAATTTACTGTATTCAGTTAATCTCCAAAAATATTTCTACATCAATTACTTAAAAGAACCGCCCCATAAAAATTCATCTTAATTTTGTTTCCACGTAAATTGTTTATCATTCATATAAAAGGATTTTATATAAAGCTCTTCATTTAATTTGAAAAAAAACTCCAAGACGACAATTGTTACAATGCTTTTTTGTCTAAAAATGCCAGTTTGCAGTTTGAAAATATCTTTTCATTCACAAGGTAAGAATACTGCCATTTAATGTTTGCACAAACACATAGAAAGGACAGTTTGTATACACCTTACTTTTAAAATTTGGATCCTAAAATGCAACTTATACCTGTTTGTGTTTCTAGATGTGCTTTTCTATCAGTTCTCTGATCAGAACAGAGGCAATTTGAGATACGCTACGTTCTTCACCATCAGCTTCTTTAACATATGGCTTATTTCAGTGTTCATTTTGACAAGCCCAGCCTTCCCCATTTAGACAATGGAGAGCTAATCATGCAGAGTTCTGCATTTTACTCCAGTGGTCAAGGGCAGTGCCTGGATTCAAAGTGACCGAGTCTTTTATCACATCTAGCTATTAAAGCATGCACTAGATTTTACACGTCTAACCTCCCTAATCTCCAAAGGACAACTCAAAAGGTTTTGTTTAAGTCCATGTTTAAGTACTTCTGGCTGAACTGCAGAACTCTTATCAATGTTCTTAACAAAACTTGGACGGTCTTGTGTATTGGGAACTTGCATGAAGAACTGAAATTAAAAAACCTTTCTACTAGAAGCTGGAAGGTTTGGCATAATTGGTACGTCACCTGAAAGCTCCAAGTACTTGCTCAAGCGCTTAATGTTCTAAATCCTCATACTTAATACAAAAAGTGCTTCCGTGCAAAAAATAACTCATCTTGCTTATTTCTCCAACAGAAGGCAACGAACAAATACAGTGTTACTGCTTAATGTCATAAATCTCAAAAGTTGATAGGCAGTGATTTAAATACCAACTATAACGTATTTACTGTACAATTAAACTGCTCTTTGATTGGTTTAATAACCTTAAAAGTTCATAGTATTACACAAGACAGCAAGGTGTCTCAGGTACATGGGAGGAGGACCTTACCTAAATCTACCATGAGAAGACGAGTGAGAGCAGTGTAGAACACTGTCCGGCACCTAAGGTCACTGAGGCTGTAATTATCGCTGATGCCCAAGAAAGGGAAGTGCTTGCTCTGTTGAAACATATGCATATGAAAAGTTAAGTGTTCTACAAAATTTATGACACAAAATGTTTTTTAACGTAGTAAGGAAACTTACTGTGTGATTCTGAAGCATGAATTTCACAGCCTCTATCTTCACAAGCTTTTTCAGGAGACTATAAGTAGCAGGTGTTAAGGAAAAATTAGCCTCGCAGAATTATGATTACATTATCAGATTGTACAAACTTTCAGGGATTTTTAGCAAGAAAAAAATCCTAACTGAAAGAACAACAAACGTACATTAAAAAAATATCTGAATTTCATCTAGAAATGTATGTCATGGAGATATTCTTTAGAACATTAAATACCATAATCTATTATTAAATAAAGCAATTACTTTTCATGGCATATATTCTAGTCACAAAAGAGATGAATGAACTAAATGACTTTTATAATTAAATGGAGAGTTTCTGATAATAAATGGTACTGTTTTTCCCCCAGATAGACCCATGTTATCAGCATGTTAAAAAAAAAAAAAAAAAAGTGGTTTTGCAACTGCCTGTGTTGAAGATGACTAGCACTTGGCAATGGACTGGCAGCAGCCCTAAGCAGCTCTCAAGTAATGGCCTCAAAATCACAAAGGTGATCTTCCAGACCTGTCAAAAATCACATTTAATTTGTTTCAGTTACAACAGATGAAAGTGCATCTCATACATACTAAGCTATGTTAAAACACTTAACCAAAGTATTTTCAGATGTGTAAGAATTGAATGGAAATTTCTTAAAAACATACAAAGTCTCAAAACCAGAGCAAAGTCCATAACAAGGTGGTACAGCTGGGAATTTTTCCTAGGGATACTTCCACAGGAATCCCAGTTTCTTCAACTGTAAAGCCAATCTAACTGACTACTGCTAAGCAGGAACTGAAATCTCCCACTCCACAAACTGGCTAAATTCAAGCCAGCAACAGTCCAGACACCAGGTAACTACAGTAGTACAGCATTGGCCCCAGCCAGCATGCTCTGCTCTCAGTGCAGGCCCCTCAGGAAGGTCTGCTGGTCTGGCCTATACATTGCACTAGCAAAGCTACGCGAGTCCTGGGCTGAAGCTCTTGGCCCTGGTCCAGCAGGATTAGCCTGAGTCTGTTTGCACCTGCTTGTATACAAAGCTCCCAGAGAGATGCACACTAAATGACACAGAAGCAACATATTTCCTGGACTGCATATATTCTACAGATCACATATTCTAGCATGACTTACCAGGCAGTTACACCTGATGAAATGTAGTATTTTTCTTAAGGTTTCTTTTAAAAAGCATGAGAAATCGTATTAAATCAAAAGTTGAGTTTGCAAAAACTATGTTATAGAAGTCCTTAAAGTTCAGATGGTTAAGACTTGTTTTCACAACTTGAATCCTTTCCTAGCTGTGTGAATTATGAACATCTTTAATAGCATGAGGTCACACTAATTCCCTGTCTCAGATGACTCAAGCATTTGGGGTTGGGCAAAGGAGATAATGCTGCGTATTCCGATCAGAGCCACGCTGACATCTTTGTGAGCTTTTGTACAGATGTAACCGCTGCCTTGAGGGATGTTTGCAAACAAGGAGCAAGAGAACGGCCAAAGCAATGGCCTGGATTTTCTGACTCCTGCTTCTCCTTCATTTGACTTAGAATTGCTGTATGATTCTCAGCCAAGTCAGTTAAATTTCACTGTCTCAGTTCTGCATCTCTAAAATGGGGATATAAAAGGCTTTGTGATATCGAAGTATACTAATACACTTTTTCAGGACTGCCACAGAAAAATTCAAACCCCAGAAACATTCATAAGCATTGAAGGCATCAAATGAATGAAATGACTTATGGGCTTATACATTCTACAATGAATACTGTAAAAAGAGGACTCATTAGTTTACTGAACACTGTTGATCCCTGGCATGATGAAGCTCTTTAAGAAACAATCAGTATGACTGCATAATTTAGACTGTACAATAGTGCTGACAGTCATGTACAAACACAGAAGATTTTACAGATACCCATAACACTTCTTATTGTTACTACGGGGTTTTTTTTTTGAGTGCTTGCTTCAATCTGCCATGCCTGCACATAATTGATTGAAGAGTTCGATTACTTTTATGGGAATAAACAATTTCCCTTTTCATTTTAAATGGATTAAATTCTTTTTAAACAGTTAAAAGTGTAAGAATAGGTTTTATAGCTGCTATTGGAAAATCTCCTAATCTAGTTTTAAGATGATGCTCCTTTGTCAATCTATAACATTTGACATAGCATTACCTGGTTTTATACTGCAAAGCTACATAGTTGGTTTTTTTCCCCCCTCTGTTACAAGGGAGAGCCTTTCATAACATTGTAATGCTAACAAAGACATGGATAAAGAATTTTTGAGAGACTATAAATATTTTATCCTAAGTTATTGTATAAAATAACAATGAACCTGTAGTTATTTTGCTACAAAAATATACAGTGGAAAAGTTAATTATTAGAAAGAACTAAACATGCATGAGGGAGCACTATGGCTTCAAAGACATAAAGGAATGACTAACATATTCCATTATGTAAATGAATTCAAAGATATTTCACAACTGATCAGCTAGGAGGGACATAATGATTTATAATTCAAATAACTGAGCTTTGAAATCAAATTGGGCTAATACATATTTCGAAATATGCAAACCTGGAATAATTGTGAAAGTAATGTAAACCATGACACCAGCTCCAGTCATTTGTTGCCTTTGTTGTTAATACTGTCTTACGTTTTTTCTTCTTTTTTCTCCCTATTACTGTACTGTTGCAGTATAGTTGCTGGAATTATAGTTTGCTTTTAATTCTAGATTATCCTTTAGAAAAAGACTATTATACACATAAAAAAAGAAAAGTACCAATTTCTAATACTGTGTAGAAGCTGACTGACATACAGGGAAGTACTGAAATTAAATAAATTATTATTTTAACCTTTCAGGCTAGCCACAATTTAATCTATATCAAATACTGAAAATTGATCCACTGGATCCAGTATCTTAACAATACTTACTCTTTCAAAGAAATATATACTTAATGCCTTTTAAAAAAACCCTAATATAATGTGAAAAGGCCAAAGTTTGCAATGCCAGGAAGTAGTTATAAACTACTTCATATGTTTGAAATAAAAGGTACTTCAGTATTATTATTAAAAAAACCCCTATCACTAGAGTTTTTTATAGAAAAAAATACATATCTTTAAAAGCCAAAATGACCAGTGAAATTGGGTTGTACATCATTTTCTGGGAAAAAGGAAAAACAGCCTCGACAGGTGTAATTTATCATTTTTCTGATTTAATACCAAAGAAATATATTAAAATAATAAAAAGAATCCTGAAATCCTCAAAATTTGTAGTGATAAATAGCCCTCCCTGTCTTTATTGCATTATGCCTACTAACAGAAATATTGCATGGTGGATTTTGCCAGACAAGGACGATTATTTTCCAATAAAAAGTTGCATATTAAATTCCAGCACAAAAGTGGGTGTCTAATACTTTTGAAATCTTTTATGGTTTGCCAGGGAACACAATTTTAAACTTAACTAATACAACATCATGGTGAAGTGAACCAGCATTAAAGCCGTCTTTGTACAACCCCACCCATCTAAGCAGAAAAGCTACTGTTCTCAGAATTTTTGTTTGAAGTATTTCCATTGAAAAGTAATTGAATAAATTTTTGGTGTTTATGTTTTTAGTTAATCTCTTTTTTTACTAGTCTTTCAACATTTCACATTGATGTTTTAAGATGTATATTTATGAAGGCAGTGCTGCTTTACATCCTGGCTATGCACAGGGGTCTGAAACTGCTCTTGCAACAGTTAGCAAGTTTCTGCAAAGGAAAAAAATCCCACAACTTCTTCACAATTCTACTCTTCAGGAGAATTTCGGTTATTAAATATCTACTTTTTCATCCTTTCTAGGTCCTGATATTATTATATCTATTTCATAAGCAGAAACTAACTAATTGCAAATATAATTTGAGTAATTGGAAAACTAAAACTATCCAGACATTTCAGCCTTGGAAAAGTATTATTTGCAATAACAGTTTATACTGACCCTCATTTTTGAGGGCTACCATGTGCCTTTGAAAGCCTCCAGAAGACAATATGAAATGCTTGATGCTTGTTGGCTTTAGCTGATTATTTCAGCAAGTATAAATACATAAATAAACAAGCAAGCAGTTTTAAGTTAGGTGCACCATGTTAAATTTCTTGGTTATTTTGGAAGCGTTTTCAACCCTACTGAGGCAATAAGAATATAGTATAAAATAGGAGAGAGCTCATTAGTGTCTTCATAAATCTTAATGAAATAAATGTCTCCCCTTCTGTTTTTGTCAAATTCCTTAGTAGTGTTTCATTTTCAAGTCCTTTCCAGTCCTATCTTTGTGATGCCATGAGAACATAAACACATGTATATTTAAAATATCAAGTTAGCTGCTTAACAGTATTTCAAGTAAACATATAGAAGTACACATTGTATGATTTTCATTAAACAAAATTCACTTATGGAATGTGGAAACCCACACTCATCTTTCAACCCAAGGAAATATATTAAAATTCTTCTTACACTATTAGAGTTCTATGGAGAAATAAAATTATACCAACTGTCATATTCCAGGTGCCTTCCCCTCTACCTAACAATCTCCTCTAGAAAATTACTGGAAAGTTGTTTTTATTTTAAAATAGTGAAGGATTTCAGTACTGAATGTTTTCATGAGCTCTGGTGGTTTATTACCTGTCGTATACCTTTAAATACTGTGTCACATCAAAACCAGCTACTACTTTTTTTTAAAATCTTCTTGCTTAATTGACTGGAAAGTCAAAGAGCAGACATTCTTCTCCAACTTATGATAAGTAACTGAATATTAGAAGAAGATACAAAGGGTTTGCAACAGATAGCAAGTTAACATCCATGATTTGGGTAAGAATTTCACAAAAATGCCTGAACCCAGACAAAAATCCACATGCAAACTCATGGCTGTTTTATCAGTACTAATGATGACACTGACACAGTGAGGAGCTTAGTATCAGGCAACAATAAAACCTGTGAAGAGGCTTGTGTTTCAAATCTAACTCATGCTTCATATCTTCGTTGACTCATTCTCAAAGCAGAACCAATCTTGTTCTCAACTGCTAACAGAATCAATCCCGTTCTTAACATTGTTGAACTCATCAATGGTATTGACTTCAAGATTAGGAATGGGATAGATGACCATAAGCAACTACTTATATGATTTCTCTTTTGTTGATAAGAAGTAGGTGGAAATGAGCACACCTTTTAAAAACTATGCATAGAAAAAGATAAACCAAGATGAATAAATATTAATGTCCTAAATGGTTTAAAAGTGTGGCATATGAAACAACAAAAGCGTCATATTAATTTTTACCTTATTATTTTCAAATAATATGTTATGCCATATACAATAAAAAGGATATCCAACGGAAAGGTCATTTAGAAATTGAAGAGTTCTTGAAATCACGGGCTCACATCTTCCCCGGTATTTAAGATTTGTAACACTACAATAAACAGAACAAAACAAAAGAGTGAGATTTTTATAACACATTTTCCTCTTTTTGAGAAGTGCAGTGCAAAAGCTCAGAACAGTATCATATTACACTACGAATGTATTTCTGTGATACATCTTAGGATTTTCCATTTATGAGACAGAAAATGCTATAAAAACATGCCGTGTCTTTTTCCTGAACAAGGGATTCAAACATTTTTGTAATATTGTAACAAATACATTCATTTTAAAAAAATCCATCATCTGTCATAATGAAAGAAATTATCTGAAGCTTACCCCTACTTATATCTATCTTACTCACTTTTCAACACAATATCTGGCCACTTAACTTCTGTAGTATTTATCTGCCCAATTCTTCATAAGATAAAACAAAATTGCTATAAATTCCCTAGGAAAATTTCCATAGGAGAAATGGAGCACAGAAAAACTAAGGGCCAATTCACAGAGCTACTGATATACCCAATTCCCAGTGAAATTCTACCTTGCAGTTCTTGTACTAATCCCTATTTTCCCTCTTCCCTACACCAAACACTTAAGTCAAGATACATAGGGGACACTGCATTTCCCTAATTGCAACTCCTCTCAGACATAGGCATTTAGGAAGCATACTCTGATTAATGAACCAATGCATAAATTATGATATAGGATAACACTAGACCTATTATCAATCCCTGGGGAACACCACATAAAACAACTTACCATTTTTAACAGCAAACTCTTATAGTTAGCCTTTCAGTGAAATCATGTGGATAACACCAGGCAATGACGACTTGTTCTACTACCTTCCAATACGTTAAGCATGAGACATGGAGCACAGAGCCAGGACCCTCTACAGCCTCTTCTGTACTGTGTGCAGGTCAGGGTAAAGACACCTAAATGACTTGGGATGGAATCTGTTGTGTTCACCTGCTAGGTTTATTAGGAGGTGAAGAGGTGGCATTAACCTTCAGATGAAAGGGGTAAACTGAAGCCAGTAAAGTGGAGGAACATAATCCTTTTTCAAATGAGGAGTGGTTACAACAGTAAAGTCAAGAGTCACTGATCTTGCTGTCATTTCCTAGCTTTCTTATGCAAATGTCATGTAGGCCAGTGCCAACAATCTTACCGAACAACAATCTTACCGAAACCCGAATATCTGATACTTACTGTTTCTGTTGTAAACTCCAGCCAGTGAGTCCAAGAAGAAACCCTCCCCCCAAGTAGCCCAAATGCATTGATCACTTAATTATATACTGACTACTAGTAACTATTTCTAGTACTCCTTTGAGAATCCAAGTTGGGCTGATCAGCCTATAAAAAGTTGCTTCCTCTTAGTTCCCTTCTTTGAAGGCGAGTACTGTGCCCTACTCTCTGGGACATCCACCATCACCCTCAATTGCTCAAAAACCCAAAAGAAAAGTTGAATGCCCCCTTCTTCCATACAGGGAGATAATGCTGCATGAGAGACTCATAGCAGAGTTTCTGGTATTGGATTCACCTGGAGAAATAAAAACAGGCTACCAGAGCCTTTTGAAACACAGCCCATTCAAATAAAAAGGCAGCACGACTTCCTGGCTCAGAAGCCCTGCACCTAATTCCTGATCGTGATATCAAATTGGTAGGGTGTATCTCAAACTGCCAGGCGATCAGGAAGAAGTAATTTCAGATTCGTATGCCTCAGTTTCCTTGTCTGTAGAATATGCATAATGATTCTGACTTTAAGCTGTCAGATCTACTGATGAAAGACCACAATGTAAGAGGCATAATCAGTACCAGGTATTTATACCATGAGGCAACAGGACTTAAATTTTGGGAATACAGAACTTGAACAAGAGATGTTAAATGCCTTAAAATCAGTGCTGATTATTGCTTTTACATATTCACAGGCTAAGGAATATACTATGCCACATAAACTAAATCTCTTTTTCAGGAAGTTATAAACTCAAGAATGCAGTTTAAGGCATCTAACTGTTTAGTATTATTTTCTCAGGAAAAGGCAAATAACAATGCAATTACCAAAGCAGTATTCGGCAATTTAGATTTACAAAGAAACATTGATTTACTTTATAAAATTTCTATGAAGAGCTACAGACGTTCAGATTGCCTTAAAGAAATAGCCCATTCTAGCAAGTCCATAATTCACAGTTTATCCCTACTATGGGGAGTTCTGGAGATGTTTATAGTTGCACTAAATCCTTAACAAGTATATACAATACAAAGCAATAAAGATGAATTTGGAGTATCCAGATTTGACGTCAATATCGAAATCATAAAAAGGCTATTTTGCAAAAGAGCAAAATCTTTGTCCTTCAGTAGCCAGATGTAAGACATTTAAAGAAAAACAAGAAGTCACAGTGACAGCTTGAAGAGAAAATTAAAACTGTATAAGGAAGGCTTTTCATCCAACATTCAGCATACTTTTGTGTACATCTTTCAGTTCATGGTTGTATTTGGATGCTGAAAGATGGAGTAATAATATAAAAACTAGAAAGTACTCGTGAGTGAACAGAGGCTGAAAAATTTCAATTATAATTGTAGCAATTCCCATTTCTGTTTCTGCCTTATCAATATCAGGCAAGATGAAAGACACATAAAATGTAATATTTTAAGAAACATCTACAAAACGTTATAAGTAGCTGAGAAAATCTGTAAAGATCTAGAGAGGAATCTTGTAATATAAAAAGTAGTTTTCCACTGTGTAAAGAAGAGAAGCCAAGGAATGAAAGAGGAGAAAAATTTACAGCTCTTGGAGAAATCATGGCAAGACAGCACTTAAATCCAAGTGCTAGTGTCCTTGCCTCTTTCAAGTGGCTTATTGATTTAAATGAAACAAGAGTCAAAGGAACCAATCATAAAGTTTCAGATAAGTCACAGAAAGTAAGAGCTTCCTCAATAACCTAAAATCTAGAAGGGGAAGGTAAATAATGATTATATACTCCAATTTACTCTTCTCTGGGAAAAAGGTCACTATATCATCCACAGAAGAAACAAAATTATTTGCATGTATCAAGTCATTATGATATTTGAGCAGGGCAAGAGTCAAGGCAAAGATCACAGAATCACAGAATAGTTTAGGTTGGAAAAGACCTTTAAGATCATCCAGTCCAACCATTAACCTAACATTACCGTGTCCACCACATAGAGTAGCAATTTCATGTTTCCTGGCTTGGTGGCTGGATTATTTTTAATGAAAGCAAAAACTAGGAATCTTAAGAGTTGAAAGGACCTCTAAGATCATCAGTCCAACCATCAACCCAACACCACCATGCCCACTAAGCCATGTCCCAAAGTGCCATGTCTACCCATTTTTTGAACACTTCCAGGGATGGGGACTCCACCATGTCCCTGGGCAGCCTGTTCCAATGCTTGACTACCCTTTCCATAAAGAAATTTTTCCTAATTTCCAACCTAAACCTCCCCTGGTGCAACTCGAGCCCATTTCCTCTCGTCCTATCGCTAACTACTTGGGAGAGGAGACCCACACCCACCTCACTACAGCCTCCTTTCAGGTAGTTGTAGAGAGCGATAAGGTCTCCCCTCAGCCTCCTCTTCTCCAGGCTAAACAACCCCAGCTCCCTCAGACACTCCTCATAACGCCTGTGCTCCAGACCCTTCTACCAGTTTCATTGCCCTTCTCTGGACACACTCCAGCACCTCAATGTCTTTCTTGTAGTGAGGGGCCCAAAACTGGACACAGTATTCCAGGTGCGGCCTCACCAGTGCCGAGTACAGGGGGACAATCACCTCCCTGCTCCTGCTGGCCACACTATTCCTGACACAAGCCAGGATGCTGTTGGCCTTCTTGGCCACCTGGGCACACTGCTGGCTCATGTTCAGCCGGCTGTCAACCAACACCCCCAGCTCCTTTTTGGCCAGGCAGCTTTCCAGCCGCTCTTGCCCAAGCCTGTAGCATTGCATGGGGTTGTTGTGACCCAAGTGCAGGACCCGGCACTTGGCCTTGTTAAACCTCATACAGTTGGCCTAAGCCCATCAGTCCAGCCTGTCCAGGTCCCTCTGCAGGGCCGTCCTACCCTCGAGCAGATCAACACTCCCACCCACTTTGGTGTTATCTGCAAACTTACTGAAGGTGCACTCAATCCCCTTCCACTTCCAGCCTCTTAAATCCATTTTATGACTTTTTTCCCCCAAAAAGCCATTCTACTGTCCTTAATTTCCTGTCCTGTCCTCAAGTTTATGATTTGGAGAAAGACCTCTTCAGACTCATGGACTGTATCACACTGCTCTTAAAAGTTCCATGTGGTGCAAAGCAAAGGACAACCCTTTGTAGCAGTTCTTATGGCAGTAGTAGATGGGAAATGATACTGCTGGAGCATAAGAGTGGAATGCCCAGCTTAGAAGAGAGAACTGAAAAACATGCGGTGCAATTTAAAAAAGAAAATTTTAGAGGAGGAGACAGAATCAGGGATGCACCGTAGAAAAGCAAAAGCAAATCACAGCACAGAAAAGGGAATGCTGAAGAGCGAGTATATACTGTACAAAGAGAGAAAATCCATTTGGTCACATGGATGGTGGGTAACTTCTCCATTTACCATTGCATGCCAAGGTGCTCAAATATTGCTTACAGGCCATCTGTAAGTGTCCAAAGAATTCATCCATCCTCTTTCCAGGAGGCCTTGAACCCTTTCTCTGAAATGTAATGGGCAGGTATGTTATCATCATAAAGCTGAGGAATCCCAGGAATGCTATACTACCTGCACACGCATAGGTTACTGCACATACACAGGAGATTTGGTAATATGACAAAGAAGCAGTTGCAAAAGGTAAGTTGCTACCAGTTAGAAGAGATGACAGCTGCTGCAAATCAGCAAGTTTGGGTGCGGTGGTTGGTTTGTCTGTGAACCATATAAATTTAGGAATAGTCTTTGTCTCAAGTTAAGGATATTACACATATACTTGCATTATAAAAATCATTAAGATTAAAAAAATCATACATTTGAAACAAAACTTTCAAAGTTGCTTAAGGTGTCTGCTGTCCAATTTCCATTAATGTGCAAGAAAAATGGGCATCCAAATCCCCTAAAAAGACTTCAAAAATCTCTTCCTTATGTGGTACTTCAGTTTCAGTAATAACAAAGATAGCAAGTTGTTGGCAAGAAAGCTCTATACAGTCATGTTTTAATTATTCCTTGTATATTATCATCATTTACAATGAAAGCTCTCTGTGGCTCAATGACAGTGACTGGATATATACTTTTCACTAGAGCTGGACAAAGGTGAATAGTTACAAAAATGCATATTCTGTCATGAATAAAAGTGCCAAGCTTTAGTTTGCTATGATTCATGGAGCCATATCGGTATGAGTGTTCAGGAAAATATTCAGAGATCCAGACTTTTTACACTTATGTATTACTTAAACATTGTCACATGGAAAATCTCTCTGTTTATACGTATGTATATGTGCATTTACCATAGTGAAATCATTACAGCAGTAAAAACAAACAAAAAAAAAAAGCAAAAAACATCCAACAGCAATGTTTGGATATGCATCCTTCATTCATATTTCAGTTATTTTATCATGACCAAAAATACTAAATATTTGGACAAATATTTTGTAAATCTACCTCATGATAAATCACTTCCATGTGAATTTGATAATAATTGACAGGAACCAGAAGAGGCTTACAAAGAACAAGTGAAGAAAAGGAAAGGTGCTTGCAGCCAAAATAAATAGAAGACACTTGTGGCTAAATGCCCAGGACAGGCTCAAGGAGCAGATGGAACTAAAACTACTCCAGTCTAAATATTTCCTTGCCTCTTACTTATACAAGGAGGGATCAAGGCAGGTAGGTAGCTACTGCTCAAAGGGATGACCAGTGGAAGGAGAGGACTACTGCTGGTTTTCTGTGCAGTGCCTCATTCCTTGCCTTAAGAGTCCTGGCCTTGATCCACGTTCCAGTAGGCCAAGAGGCATAAGAATATGCGACAGGGCTGTTTTGGGAGGAAGTAGGAGCAAACAAGGATAGAGAACTCCATAGAACCAGAGGAATAGTCTATGCCTTTGAAAACCAGTACCTCAGGGCAACAGGCTCAAAAGAAGAAAGTCTAAGGAGACAGGCTGGGACCTTAAGTCACAGTCCTTCTCCAGAATCTTGTCATCCACTGCAACCCTAGTAGCTCCTTCAAATCCCATTGCTCCCTCTTGCCTGTCTTCACACTCAGGTACTCCTCCAGGCTTATCTCTCCTTGAACCTACTCTACTGTTGCTACGATGCTGAACACAGCTGAGAAGACTTAAGATGCCTTGCATATTAGAAAAATTTTGTTTGAGGTTAGGTATTTTTTCAGTTGGCCTTTCCCCTTCCACACATACACCCTATAAGGTGATGGTCAAAGCAAGCAAAGACGGTGGATGCTAGAAGAACGATCCTATAAAATTTCTGGTAAGACTGTGGTGAAAATACAGCCATTAATGGATATTTTGACTACATAAAACTCCATCCCTTCAGAAATGGTTTAACAGGAATTCAGTAAAAGGCACATTCATTAACTTCCAATGAAAATGTGATAGAAGGTCTAGGATCTGATGTGACAATAGCACTTTAAACTACAGTCAGAAGGTCTAAAGGACACCTATTACATTGACAAATCTCAAAATATTTCTGTACTTTGAAGAGTATCTATTTCATACAGACTTTAATCCATAAACTGAACAGTGGCTACTGCAGCTACTAGTAGCTATGACACAAGTATTTCAAATTGTTTTCTGTTAATGAAAGAACTCACTGAGTTTGATCATCAATCCTCCACTGCAAAGCTGCTACTAATGAATTCAAAAGAACAGATTAAAGGTACATACATGGAAGTGAACTACTGAAAACAGACACACCTGGGAAAAGACAGCTCAATAGAAAATGTGTTAAAAATCTCAAGAAATCAAAGAAAAATGTCATTTATCCATCTAAACATTACTGAGCTCACGTTGGACTTCAGGAAACTAGAAAGTCCATGTGTCAACGAGTAAGTTATCACAAAAAGAGATTAAGCCTCTTAACAGCAGAACAAAAGAAAAATTAATATGTCCCGGTAGACTACAGCTTGTTTGACTACCATAAATTCAATTGCTATGTTTACTCCTCACACCAAGTATAAAATGCTTCCTGCATGCAACCTTCATTGGATTCTTTAATGGCAAAGTGGAAGGAAATAACCTGACATTGTCTTTTGATCATCCCACAGTGCTAATGGTAGATTACGATGAGGTACCTTCTCCAACACTGTCTGATTTGATAGACTGGTTGCCAATAGCCAGGCAACAACATTCTTTCAAGCATAACTCCTCTGTTTCACATAATGCTCAGCATTAACAAAACAGAAACCATACAGTCTCAGACATTGTTGTGCAGTTACTATACAAGAATACCACCACTTTAACAAAAAAGTGCACACTAAAAATTCCCTAGCGTTTCCTTTTAACCTAGTATTAAGGAATAATATATGATAAATTTCACCTACTTAAAGAAAAAAATGGATCTGTAGGGTAAGACAGAACGGTAGACTAGTGGCTTTCTAAAATAAATGTGGTTAAAAATACTGACTGTATCCACAAGAGAAAAAGGTGAATGGTCTCACAGTCATGTATCCTGCCCACTGCTGTTAGAAATGTGCTAAGATTATTCCCAGTAATGGAGCACCAGAAATGCTGCCAGACTGGATTGCCCCATCAGACCCTAGTTTTTGGATTATGTATCAGTATGTTATGGCTTTGCACCCAGATTTTCCAACTGGCATGCTATCACTGGGAGAAGCTCGTTTATTTTAATTGACACAAACATGAATGTGTTTATATAGTGGTTTCACAGTTACCTCTTAAAGCTACTGACTGAATTCTCCATTTCAAGATGTAACATCCATTCTGTAAAATGAATTTGATCTTCAGTTTAATCAACGAACAATTCATGTTTTTAGGAAAATACAGTAAGCCATGAGGAAAGAGAAAACAAAAATGTAGAGTGTGTAATCTAAAAACCAGCACTGATTCTTGCTTTTTACGTACCTAGGGTTTTTTTTTTTAAACCTTCCATATAACATTAAAACCCTAACTATGTTTTTTTTCTTTATTTACAGTACTTGGGCAAACACAGCCCTATCCAATCTAAACACATGTAGTACTTATCATACAAGTTGTTATATGAAATACTGTTATTTCCTCAGTTGGCAAATGCAACAGAGATTTCATCTCAATGGCAGCAAAAAGTAGGAAAAGAGAAGCAAAATGATGCGTCTGGTCTCCAAACAGTCCTCTTTCCTCCCTTCTTCCTCAGTCGTTCAAGTTTCACTGTAGTTTGAAACAATAAAATGAAGCCTAGCTGTCTAGTACCATGACATGGACTGCTTCCAGAAACTACAATAAGTATCCATCAATATTTTTCCATTCATCACCTTCCATTTACCTGTCTTCAAAGCATACTCCAGATAAATATCAAGGTTTGATGGGTACTATTGTTATCCTAAGGCAAGATGTAACAGTCAGCTTCTGGTTTCGAGGAAGCACAGCATTTATGCCTTGTTTTTCACAGAAAAGTTAAGTCATATTAGAAAATAACCTTGTCTTAATTGGCACTATTTCTCAAGGTTGGTAGCCATGGTAGCAAAAGACAAGCCATGTTTAATACTGTCCAAACAGATCACCGCTAACATGGCAACATCAGTAGAGATGTTTCTCTAGTAGGTCAAAGTCTACTGAAAGTATTTACAGGTCTTGTAAGTCAGATTTAGAGGACATGAAGTAAATGACAGGATGCAGCATCTTCCTCACCGTAGCACAAAGAGGTAAGGTACTTGTTTCTCTTTTTCCAGGCACACACAGAACTCATTGTCTCCTGGGGACTCCCAGATTTTTTTAGTGGATATTCACAATTTTTCAGAGGGACCATTTTGTTTTGTTTCAAGAGCAAAACTGATTTTAGATGAAACACTTTTTGAGTCAGGAGAAACTATCAAATCTCATGATGGGCATAAGTAATAAAAGACAAAATCCTGGCAGTTTTGCTGGCACCCAAAGAAAGTGGCTGCAGCAGAGGCATGAGAAAAAGGTAGCTTCTCCACAGTAATTTTTCTAGGATTATTCTTGAGAAAGTATTGCAATGCTTATCTGCAAGAGTAACACACCATCCTAGTCTGCCAAATGCCAGAGATGAGGAGACAGCTGACAATAATGCCCCTTGTCTCCTTCAGTATGAGGTCTTAAAATTCTCCTCTGTGCATCTGTTATTTTTAAAGGAGCATATTTTGCCAAATTTTGCCAAACCTTGCCAAAAAGCAATCCAAAAGGGCCTCCCCAAAACAAAGAAAGATTAGTTTAACTTGGTCAGTTCCCCACTGTAAATTACCATGAAGCTTTACAGGCAATTCGTGCCACTGACATCTGAGGATGCCAGGAATGAGAAGTGGGAAAGCATGGGGACTGCTTATGCCAGGCTGTCACAGAACAAGAGTCTATGAAATCTCAGCTCTGTTCTCCCATAAGCCATTTCCAGAGGTGATGCAGGCACTGTGGAGGACATATCTAGCTGCAAGTGTTTATTTAGGGGCCTGCAGTACCTTCACAAAATAAGATACGGGTGCTTCTGAAAATGGTTATCCCTTCAAATATTTAAAATTCATGGAAGACATTTTTCTAGCAAAGAGCAAACTTTAAAGTTTTTTTAAAGAGTAAACATTAAAGACAAAACAAAATACATACAGAATAGAACCCAAGCACAAACTCACATTTTTCTCATAAATGTTTCCAGAACATGGTTGTCATCTGTTATTCCTAAGACTTCTGACATTCGGGTATACACCTGGAAATAAACGTTTCAACAGTAACTTATTACAGATATTTACAAGTACCAACGTTTTAATTCTAAAACCTTCCCCACTTTTGATTTTGCATGAGAAAAGTACAGGCACAAATGTCTGTCCGTCCAACCTAGCTGAAGCATTTGTGAGAGATGGCTTATACACTCTCCAATAGTGTTTGGTGAATTTGGGACTGATACGCTTTTACTTGCCCTTGCATACATCTCTTCCCACAGAGATGATGTAAATTTTCCACACTAAACTCACTTTGTTGTTCACAGAACAATACAGTCCTTATTAAAAAAACCTGTTTTATTATAAAAAATTGCAAAGGGATGGAGAAAACATTCTTCTGTTGGTCCCTGTCCTCAGTGGGATGTGATGCAACACTGTCCTTTAGCTTGCATGTGCAAGTTCTTGCACTGCCAGTCATAAAATCTGGTAAATTAGGTACTCTTCAGACATTCATTTTTGTGTTCTCAAAGGGCAAACAAAGGCTTTGGCAACCAAGTAACTTGTAGTTGTATACTCTTCCCTGTATTTCAGATCCAAGACATATATTACCAGCCAAGTTTTCCTGGCAGCCTACCTATCAGATCAAACTGCTGTTATGATGCAGTAACAAATGCACAGGACACATCAAGTCTATTTTTTCCTTACTGTGTAATCTTCATAAAATTTTCTGGTAGTTTTAGTAGTCTAACCTTTAGCCTTTAGTTTGGATAAAAACATCTAGTTGGGTTAAATCAACTTCAGAAAGAGAAGGGAGACATGCACTGCAAAATTTCTTTACAATCCTTGCCAATTCACTTTACCCTGAGCTCAAGTAACCCTGCTGTTTGCTTATGACTGGGCTAAATGCAGATCTACCAGTCAGTACATTTCATCTCAGTAATTTTAACCTTTAGTGACACTAAAACAAATATTATGGGTTATGTGTAATTCTTCCATATGATGTGATCAAGTCAAGTATCACTAAGGTCTGAAATAAGAACACCAAGCACAGCACATGCAGCCCTGGTTACCCAGCGGTGAAAGCCTGGTGCCATCTAGCTGTCAATTTTGTTCGCTGACATTACATATTCCACACAAATACCAATGGACGTTACCTAACTCAATACTTCTGTTACTGTACCTAAACTTGCTTGTACCAACTTCCTTTCTGCTAGTGATGTAATCCCATGGCTGTACTTAAAAACCAAACCAGCAGTATTCTACCTCTGAGGAAGTCAATCATAATAATACAAATAATAAATAATACAATAAAAATTGTATTTTCATATCCCGAAGACTTTAGTTTTAAATCCAAGCATAATAAAGGTACGATGAAATAAACTTGCAGGTCTAACCAGAAACTGCACCAAGATCAAGGATAACGTAACTTGTAAGTTAACTTACCCTTTTACAATTGTATGAATGTAATTTATTGTGACAAAATCAGTAGTGAAAGGACAATCTAAATATGAAAAAAATTATAATATACAACCCTCCAAACATTCAAAATATTATGCTCACACTGTAAATGTGAAGTTATTTATAGTAATTAAACATAGCAACAATATATTCAAATATAAAAGCAGTATCTACTAATTAAAAAAAAAAAATCATCTCTCCAAATAGTGCACTGCTTAAATGCTATAGCAGCTCCAATTTTAGCAAAGTAAGAATTTCTATATTTGATATGAGGAAAAGAGAAAAAGAGATAGTGAGGAATGTAAATGTATCAGCAAACACACATTTATGTTAAGATCTTTCCTTTCTGTCACGGGAAACCAGTGGGAGAAAGGGTGTGTGAGAGAGTGCATGTCTAGTAGCATTGTGCTCTGTTGTCAAACTAGGCTCTCCCCACATCAGAGTTTAACAAATAAAATACTAAAACAGCAGTCAGTGTTGACAAAGAGCAGTGCTTTAATCCACAATTATCCTTGTAACTCTTACTACTCCTTTTATCATCCATTAGCTTTGATTCCCATTATCCCATCAAGAACTGTGTCAACGCTTTTGTCCCTGGGGATTTCCCACAACTACTAGGATCTGACAGCCAAGCTTGAGTGCTAAGCAGGATCATTACCTCTTAAATCCACTTATCTGATCCACTGAATAGTAAATTGAAAAGCTCATTAACAGCAACAATCTGATTTGTTTTCACATGTGACAGGGTCATTTCAAGTCAGCATGAATACAGTGCTTGTAATAAAAACTAGTACCCGTTCCATAATGTGACAAATTGTAAGCTAAAATAAACGTGATATTTTAAACACCTTTTTCAAAATAATTTTCAAAACCAATACACACTCTTAGCATGTAAAAATAGAAAAGCAAACAACCTCCAGCCACAACAATGAAATGCCCTTAGACTTTTAAGCACTATAAAAAATTAATGATAAAGCATTTTGGATATATAATAATAAAAAACACTTCAACAACGAAGACCGTGCTACATATTCAAAAGGCGGAGAAAAATACTGTTGAAAGGGGTCATAAAAGGACATGGAATCGCATGTAGAAGTGATCTCATCTTCAGCTTGGTTCCCCTCACAGAGCTGTGAAGGTAAAGGCAGCACAGAGCCCTGGTGTGGCCTGTGGGACCTCACAGCTACACACCCACTGGGCTTCCACCCTCTGAGACCTCCTCTTCCTTCTTCCAGCAGGAAAAAACCCAAGGCTTATGTTTTTAGCTCCCTCCAGACACTTCAAGTAAGGAGCAGGATAATTAACTTTCAGTAGGAAACAACTACTTTAAGACTTCCGGAAAACCTTTACACAATCATTTCCAAATCCTTACAACTGCAGGATTTATAACTTCCAAAACAAATCCTGCATCAACACAAAACGCCACATGATCATGCCATGATATTGCCAAAAATGCAAGCTTAACAGTAAAATATCCTATCATCACCATCTCATTCTTACAACAGTTATGAATGTAAGCAAAAAATCTGCAGAAGTGGTAACATTAGGCTACAACGTTCCACAAGCTTCACAGGCACAAGTACACACTTGAGGTCCTTAAAGCAAGCTCAGGCCGATACCACCATTGCAACCAATACCCACATGGCATTGCTATATTCAAAGGTGATAGCAATGGTCATGACAATGAGGAGAAAGAAGAGACCAGCAAAACACCTTCAATAACAATCAATAACAATTTCAAATATATTAAAGCAAGTGTGAAGGCAAGAGATCCAGAGATCCTTTTCTTTTGCTCTGTTTGTACCATTAAAACCACCTCAGTGGACTCAGGATGTTTAAGGACGACAGCAGGTTCACAAGCTCTGGTGCCAGGGAATTTTTTATGATTTAGCAGATTTATCAGTGGTTTAAATTACGTAACTGTATACTTCACAACTACTCGAACCGTACCTGCTCTGCTTCAAAAGGATGAGAAAATAAAATTGTGGAAGCAAAGCACTTGTATGTAAATACAGTCCAAGAAAACAGAGAAATAATACAGTAATCACACTAAAACTTTATTTCCCTGACTTCTCTACTCTTTGGCCCCAGATATGTTTAACTTTGCTTTGTCTTTTGAGGTCTTCTCTTTTTGGTACTATCATTATAACTCTGAAGAAGCTAATTATGTCAATTCTTAAATGTGAAGCAGATTACAGAACTGGGAAGCTCAGAATATGAGTTCCTAAAGGTTGTATGGCTATATAATGACAGTCACAGAAATTCAATAACAGCACTGTATGGAATGTACTCAAACGCACCCCATGAAACAAATTAAAACAGAGCAATGAATCTCTCACACTGTGCAAATAAGAAAACACAAGAAAATGTTGGTTTCTATATGTTTCATAAGGGCTATTATAATGAATTAAGATTTTGGATAATGAATCTTCAGAAAATTACAGTAAAGTTATTACCCGTAGGCACAGCGTAAATGCTTAAGATATTATAACTTCCTTGAAGCTCTCCAGGCCTTGCTGCAGAGAACTATCACTGCAACATTAAAGTATTCTGTCATCAACATTGAGGGCAAAACCAGATCTTAACCATATTTACCCCAACCTGACAGAAGCTGAGTAGGACAGCTGCTGCAATCCAGCCTGGAGTAGCTGGGCTGGAGCACACGTGGCAGGTCGCGGAGACCGCCTCCTTCCCCATGGTCTGTTTGGGAATTCACACAATGCAGGGGCAACTACAGCAAATTTCTGAAGCTGCCATCCCACCTCTCTGACTAATACTCCCGTGCATCACCCACTAAAACTCCATACTAATCACTAGTTTCTTTCTCGGTATCAAGTGCCACAACAAAATTAGTAATTTCCACTGCTTTTTAAATCAAAATCAGGTATTTTGAATTTTCAGCATTTAAAAGCTCCATTACAATGCAGCAGAAATCTAGCTTCCCAATCCCCCAGATAACTTCTGAAAATCTGAATGGAATCCCCCAATTAGTATATGAGGGTGCCAGATCATTCGTCTTTACCTCCTGACCAAACTAAGGTCTTAAAAAGCCTTGGCTTTTCTAGCCTCTCCATAACAGCGGAAAACCTTGGTCACTCATAAAACCTCCGTTCCTGACCAGCTGTCTTAAAAAGGTAAGATCTCAAAACACCCTTAACTCAAGAGTCTAAACCAAGAGAATGGGCTAATCTGTTGTTTTATAGTCAGCTCCCTAAATGAAAAAAATTCCAAAACAGGCCATAAGAAATTGCCTCAGTTAGTTTCAGAAAGGATCTCTGAAGATTAAGTTGGGCTTTGCACTACATAAAAAGCAGGGTACTCTCCAATTCACTGCTACGTGTGTTTGTAAGCAACCAGAGAAACTACACTGATTATAATAAACTATATACTATCTACTGTCTGTCTTACAAACCTAGCTTAATTAAAATACTGCATAAAGTTACCCTCAATTGAAAGAGACCTAAAATAAAATAACATTTAAAAATTAAGGTATTGTTATTACAACAAAGTGTAATGTTGTAGGGGAAAGGGTAAATCTGCTGTGCGGCTCAGAGTCATTGTTACGGATGTTATTTCCTTCGCAGTCTGT